TGCCAATATCAGGAGCAATGCCAGCTTTTCTCCCTATGCCCTCGATTTTCTTCAAAGCTTCTGCTGTCAAAGTCATTTGCTTTAGGTCTCCTATTTTTATTAGGGTGTGAGTGATGTTGTTATTTAATTAGGTTAAAGAGTCCAATTCCCAGCCTGTGTTTCAAATTATATCTCACGCACCTAAGCCTTATAAAACTTTAATCTTTAAGTTATTACAGTAATTGCCTGGACTTAAAATTTCCTACATGTTGTGGGACAGTGCCATAAAAATAATTTAATTTGCTTGATGCATTTACCTGCCACAATATTGAAGAGAATTTTGATTTAAGGAAACACATTTTAAGGGTTAATATTATCTTGTCTGGCACTACAGAACGCAAAGTGTCATCTGTCCACAAGAAACTTCACTCTCATGCTTTACTGATTTTATTTTTTTTAGAAGAAATAAAGTATTGCTTTTTTTTTTCTTAAAATGCTTCCTTATGAAAATGAACCTGCAGAAACGTAATCTCTGTTGCACCAAATCCAGCCCAATTTTTGTAGAACAGCATTTATCCACCTTAACTTTGAGACCACCCTGTCTCTGCTTACAATTCCTTCTCTTGTGCGCTACACAAACTTTGGCTCATTTTAAAAAGCAAATCCAAAACACGGTCCAGTTCTGTGGCCTCCTTTATTATGTGTACACCTCTCCAGGGCAGCTCCACACTGCAGGCGAAACGAGGCAGCACAGAGAAAAACTCTCTGCTGACAAAAACAACCTTCTCTTGTTCTTCGGGTTCTAAAAAAAACCCAAAAGTTACTTTTAAAGTCTTTCTGTTTGAAGCACATGGACAACAATAATGGAACAGCTGATGCCTAAGAGCTGGTTTCTCCCCCACTCTCATACAGATGCCTCCTCCCTTTTCATCAAGGGATAAACCATCTCCAATTACTGGAGGCTAACATGTTATTCAAGGATAAATATGTGCAGGCTCTTGTCCCACAATAAAAGGAAGGCAATTCAAGTAGCTTACGTCTGACTCTCATTATATGAATGTTTTCAAAAGCTGTGGCCTATCTCGACGTGAGATACGGCTCTCGTTCCTCGCCCAGCTCTGAAGGGAAAAGAGAAGCCTGGCCCCTGTACTTCCACCTCCCAACAGCCACATCCCTTTTCCCACAGCAGTGGTAAAGGGAGATACTCACAGGGAATTCCACCAGCACTTACTGAAAGCAACTGGAAAGGCTCCTCGAAAGTCCAAGAAAAACGAGGTCTAATTTTCCTTACTCGAAAACCTACAATATTTAATTCTCCTTTTGTACCTTTATTCCTCTGAAGTTTTCTTGAGAAATGGTAAAAAAATTATACAAAAGAAGTATCTCTATTCTTTTGAGATTTACAAATCAGTCAGTTAGAAAAAAAAAAAAGAGGTTGCTTACTGATAAAAATTAACTGACAGTATTTTTACTCACCAATATTTTTGACTTCATGTTTAAGGATTTGGGGCTGGGGATCAGATTTGGGTACACAGCACAACAAGACACAACTGAAGGCTGGCACATTAAACCCGTGCAGCGAGCATCTGCCAACTGTGCAGACAACCATAAACCTGTCATTTCCTGATTTTTTGAATACTTTAACCTCATAATTCAAAGTGTTGGGTGGGATCCAATTTCCTTAATTTGGCTGAAATTATAAGCAGTTGGACCCCAGGGAATAACGCAGTCAATACAGTATCACCACCTAAATGCTCCACTTGATAAAATAAAGAGAAGACACCTCTGAAGACCTGTCATCCACTACCTCTGACACCTTCTGAACAGATCAGGAGAAAGAAAAAGACAATTCTAGCATTAGTCTGTTGATCAGAGCTCTCAGCTGGGATATAAAATGACATGTCTTGAAGACGTAACTCCTCCAGTCAAGAGGAACAATCTAAGCAGCAGCCCCTACTCCATCTCCAGCCTCAAAGCTGAAGCAGAGCCTGAAACACAGATGCTTCAACAAACTGCACAGCATCAATATTAGTATGACTAATTCTAATGTTACAAAGGAGTTCCACGTTTTCCCCCTCCCTTCCTCCCACACACCAAATTTAATCCTTTGCTGTACAGACTGCAAACCAGGGGCACTCTTGTGAAAAGTCTCGTTAAGTGCCCTGCTTTTGTGCCTCCAATTAGGGCAGCTCACGCCCACGGCAGATGGCAGAAGGGCTGCCACCAGCAGCTGGACAGCCAGCTACCAACACTTCTGGTCACAGGTTCTCGATGTGTTCTTGACTCTTCAAAATAAAGGATATCCAAAACAAAGGAAGGTCACAGCATCCTTAAAGCAGTCAAAATTAAGGAGAGGGGAAAAAAAAAAAAAAAAGATTTTGCATATTAAGTCCAAACTAAGAAGACTTGAATGGTTGCACCAATTTATACAGGGCAATGCACTCACCCAAGTGAACAGGAGTGGTCATGCCTGTGGAGTTACAACCCTGCACCCGTTTCCAGTTTAACAGCCTGATAATTGTATTTTGGGTTAACTGTAGGAATAAAATGTGTCTGTTGACAGCCATCAAGGTAAGTTTTGTTATCTTTACAAATTATCTGTGCTCTTCTGGAAGATGAAGATCACTTGAGGATTCAGCCTCTTACTCAGACTGTCAACTTCTTTCTCAACAGTCTACAGACAACTCATGGGTGACAGGTCACCACATAGCTTTCCCTTTTCCCTGAACTTTTTAATTTGATGTTGTACATTTTTAATAAGTCAGACAACATGTGTTTAGACGTCATCAAGTTAGTAACAGGTTCTCGGCCTCATCTTGAGAATAAAGATTTAGTCACAGATTTAGCTCAAAATCCTTTTTTTCTCCTTTATTACACATGAGATAGCCACGCATTTGACTTTTCCATCTGCAAGAGGCAACTGGATTACAGAAGTGTTATCCTGTTGGATTTTTAAAACTCTAACTGGGTTCTACATTTATTATCTTCTTGACAAGTTATTTCCATGCAGAAAGCTCAAGATATCTAAGTGTGCATGTATGATATATACACGTCCTGTTGCCTGTACACAACACGATATGTCTGAGAGCTATGGTTAGCTAAAAAGAACATTAAAATGTTATGAAAATGACAATGAGAGAGGGATAAAATGTGACTAATTGTCTTTACTTGTTTTTCTGCACCTCTCTCTCCGCTGTAGGCCTGTTTTATGATGCAGTTATTGCTCAAATTCTTTTCCTGCCTTCTTTTCATAAGTCACTGTCGTTGCCTTAATGCTTTATCAGATAAAAGTGACTGTCCTAATTAACTGAAGAGACCAAGTGTGACTTATGGAGCAAAGCAGAATCATGGGACCCAGAGTGACAGCTCTGGAAACCTGTGCGCCTGATTTCCATGGCTACGGAGACCCAAATACCTTGTAGCACCCCAGAACAAGGAACAGTGACTTCTGAAGAACCAGATTTATAAATATCTCAAGATACGGTGGAGAAGAAGGGGCAAGAGAAAAAAAAAATTGGTCGTGTGCAGAGCAAAGAGACAACCACCTCTTATTCTCATTTATAGTAGAACCGAGGTTCAGGGCATTGTCAGATATATGCAGCTCTCATCTCTGTGCATCAGCTCCTGAAGACCTTCATAAACCTTCTCGCTATTCCCATTTACCCAAATTTAGTGAAAATGTGTTTCTCAGGAAATGCTAAAAAATCTTACTCTGGCATTTACAGTTCCTTCCTTGAAAGAAGTAGAGCTCGGAGGCACAAAGCAGAGGATGCTGCAAGCCTCTCAGCTGCTAAAGAAGTAAATGATGAAGTTCAGGAAATTATTTTGGAGCTCAGCACCCACTTCAGCATCATGAGAAACAAATCTCCTATGTTTAAAGCCCATATATAGAAAGCCACTTGCCTCCAAAGTAAAAATGAAGATTTTTTTTTCTACAGGAACCCCTTGCAGTACTAAAAGGCTGCCAGTATTCAGACAATTTTAGGCTGAAACAAGCATATCACACAGGTCCATTAAACTAGAATGCCAAGTCCAGATAAGCACTGCAATAGAATTGTCTTCTCAGAAGTCAACTCAACCATGTATCAATAGAAAACAATCATCACACATTTAAAAATTAAGTCATTTAGCTAAGGCAGAAATGTGTGTGTGTAAAAGAAAGGATAGAAGATATTTAAGAAATGAGTACAAGCATGTTAAATCTATATTCGACTTAATTATTGGATAAAGGAGAGGATTATGTTTTCCTCTTTTTAGAAACCTTCCTGGTTCCTCATCTGCAAACACATTTGTTGCTTTCAACGTACTCCAGTTATATCCTAATTTTAGGGGCCGCTGCTCAAGAATTATGGCAGCAAGCAAAGCATCAGGATATATCTGAATGTGGCAGAGACAACAAAAAGAACAATAGAGTCCACGGGAATAGTCTTCTTTGGTAGAAGCCTTTGGGGTTTAAGTAACTTTATCAGCATTTCACACTGTTGCTTCTCTGCCACAAAAAAAACCACTGTATTAGGTAAAAAAATAAATAATGTCCCATTTAAAAAGAAAACTCCAAAGCTTGCATGGTGTAGTTCTTGAGCTTTGCCACTTCAGCTGACTTCGTACGCCCTCTCCCCCTGCCTCTCATTCCTACCTTTTTCCATCTCTATCATGACAATACGACACAAAATGACTGGAAAAAAACATTCTATGGCTGTAGTGAAATTGCCCATTTATTTGCTCTTGCAAAAACAAAGAAATTCACCAAGTTAATAAAGTGTGAATTAACTATAAGAAGCCAGCTGAAGAACAGTAAATTTAATCTGTGTTAAGATGATAACTGCAGAATTCCCTTGTCTTTGCAATGTATTCCTCAACACTGCTCAATGAGAAAGTTGCCATGGGCTTCACGCCCTTTCTGCTTTATGTATGCAACCTTAAATTCTTCCAGTTTCTCCTTGTGCAGTAACATGTTATCCACATAAATACAGAATTTTCCAAATTCAGCAAAAGGAAAAAAATAGCAGAGCTGGACATACCTGCTGATAGAAAAAATTTAGAGTTGGTTTGTCCTCAGTGAACTGGTTTAGAAATCCTTTCGGCAAATATCGAATTCTCAATTCATATCTGAAAAGCAAGAAAAAGAAAATTAAACTAGTGAGACAAAAACAACAATCGAGATTTCCTCACAAATAAAGATGTCTTCAAATATTCTTAAGGATAAAATCAAAACAAACAGAAAACTAAAGGAAAATTTCCTCTTCTGACTACTCAGAGAACTAAACTGGAATGTAGCACCTGACGTTTCCTAAGGATGTTTACAAAGGATCTTTGTAATGGAAGCAAACACTGTAACACTGCTGCCTTCCCCAAGCTTCAGTGAGGACTGAAGCATCAGGACTTGAAGCAGATAAGCTATCAGGTCCAGATCCCTGGGAAAGAAGGCCCCAATTAGGTGAGAACAGCAGATGAGGGGCCAAACCACTGACAGGACTCCTTGGCAACAGCTTTTATCTTTGGTTATCACAAGCATGGTACTTAAAACACAGGCCCTACTGCTCCAAGTAAGAGTGGCAACCAGTGTTACTCACCAGGGAGCCACATCCTACAGACAAAACAAGGGCTTAACTCAAGGAACACAATCATCCGACCCCAGTCCTTCTCTGACCAAGTGCTGCAATACTCCCCTCTGAATTATTTCAAAGCTTTTGAAGGGATTTAGCTGTGAAAAGGTTTCCTACATCCTCATTCATCATGAAGATGCATGCAAAAGCCAAATGAACCAGTTTTCAATGCGAGTCATATTTTTCAAGTAACTAATACACCATGGAGTGAGGGAGATGCAGAATTAGTCTTGATCCATGACCTGTATCAGATCTGTAGCTCTGTGTGTCCTGTACTATCAGCCCATGACACTTGCCACGCGCTGCACGCTTCCTCCTCTAACACATTCCTGCAATGAAACTCTGACAAATGTTCTCATCCCTCTGGGTGTGCCCATCCAGCATAGCCCAAGTACAAAACCCTTCACAGCCCTTCCCCAAAATGAGTATATTTAACATTCTGCTCGTGATGGCGAGAGCAAACACTGCAACACTTCAATCTGTTGGTTTCAGCAGGCCACGGACTTCTTTCAGCAAGTGACTGGGCTGCCTGTAATCAAGATTTATACAGGGATATGACAAAAAGTTACTAGGAGTTACAGCTGCTTAGGATTCCACTGCCAATGGAGGTTGTCAGATTCTTCTTTGCTTTAAAATAGCTGTAAACACATTGTCCTTTTAAAAATCATTAAATTAAGGAAAACATTTAGGAACTGCAAACACATGCACACACACTGTACAGAAACTAGGAATACTTTGACTTTTTTTAATAGTATAGCAAATTTATTTCATAAAGGAAAACGTACGTCGATCTCCTTGCGCACAGAAAACACGTTCGTAGAGTCTTCAGGGTGTAGGACACACAAGAGAGGTGGAGAACACCTCAAAGAGGACAGATGTAGATTGGACACTTGTTACAGTGATTGTTCCTTAAGCTTTTTGCTTGATTCCAGAGACACTGGAAGAGGTTGCCCAGAGAGGCTGTGGATGCCCCCTCCCTAGAAGTGTTCAAGGCCAGGCTGGATGGGCCTTTAAGCAACCTGGTCTAGGGCAAGATGCTCCTGCCTGTGGCAAGGGGGTTGCATGACACAATTCTCAGCCTGCAGAGACTGAAGTGATTAAACGTATCCATATAAAAAAATTAGTTGATTGCTATTTTTTTTTCCTATTTTATTTTTATAACCCAATACCTTCTACATTTTTAAGATTACACCCAACACTGTTCCCTGAAAACTGTCCTTATGGATTTGTCATTTCCCAGGTGCATTTTCTCCTGCTATTTTCTCCTTGTCCTTTACCTCTTTCTATTCTAATTCCTTTCCATAGCAGCAGTTTTCACATCACCTTTCCAAGCCTCACTGCAGCGAGGATCCAACCTTTGAGCAAAGAAAAGCTGACTGACCTGACAGTTGAAGGGCACTGGCTAACTGGTTGTCCCCAGTGCAGCACCTCCCAGTTCACTAAAACAGTTTCCTCCCTTCCCATCACAGCTGCACTTTATCACACCACTAGATGTTAGTATAAAATCTGGTACCTATTTTATTATTGCTGTGATAAATCTTTGTGAGGGACTGGCAAATAGATGGCAAAGGTTGATGTGCAGCTCAAGGGTATTACAATGGCACAAGGAATTTATAAAGCAGACACTCAAGTCAGCTAAGGACAATTCAGATTGTCTTGGAAAGTCATTCTTGACGTGCAAGTTTTCTCATCCTGTTTCCTCCCTGTTGAGGAGAGGGACTGAGAAAGGGTGCTGCCAGCCAAGGTCAGCCCACCACAGGGGCACCCAGTGCCTGACCACAGGGACCTTCTCAGTCCTGAAAATGTTATGAAACAATTAATCTGTTGCAGACAACTTATTTAGTAATACATACTGAAGACAGGGTTGAATTTTCACACTATACAAATGAAAAGAATCCTTTTTTCATCTCCCAATGTACTAAGAACAAATATTGACAGGCAGTCACTCCACACCACCTCTTTTCCTATTTTTCAGTCATTCTATAAGCTAAAAATCAAGAGACCATTCAGGCCTGAAGAAATGCACGTGGAACTGATCTCAGACCTTCAGCAGAGTACATACTGTCTCTGTCACCCTGATCTAGACTACGATGTAGAACAAACACAACCTTACTCTCTGGTATTAAAAAAGCATATAGGAAAAGCAACCTTCCTTCTTTACAGGGATTTGTCTTAGCTGAGGAGCTGTGAGAAGTACTCCTGACTGTAACAGCATCTCATGGGAAGATCAGGTAAGGCAAAACAGCTTGACTGGGAGAGTCACTGACAGTGACCTTCATTACCTATTTATAAACTAATCTCTGACTACACCTATGGGAATGGAGAAGCTGATTTCATAGGCAAACTCAAGGATGGGCTTCATTTTCAGAATCCTCTAAATTTAGTGTCTTTGAAGCACAGCCAACTGATGAGGATGACAAGTCCCTTTCTCACAAACCAGGTCTACTTGATTGCTTCCCTAATGTCTGACAGAACCAGAAGACCACTATTCTACTTGCTGCTCTGCAGTTAGTGGAAGTAAAAAAGAAAGAATGATCCAACTCTTAATATACTGGGGCACTGAAATAATACCACCAGCTACAACCGTGTGGGTTTCTTCCAGCAGGTTCCAGTTCAGTTCACAAAAAGGAATGAAAAGGGCAGAGAGAGGAAGAGCCTTGTGTGAGTTTAATGAAGTGAATCAGCTTGCTGAAGGATTAGACAAGCATTAGGGCTCACAGAAGAAAAGGACCGAGTAACTGGAAGCAAGAGAGAGGAGAGGACAGACTGCAGAGAGGAGAGGTGCAGAGCTGTTAGATCAACTCAGCTCACTGAATCGTTCCACAGGTGGTCTGGCCCTTGTGCCAGTGCCAAGGCCACTGCAGCTATCAAAGCTTACAGTAGACCACTGCTAAGCACTGGGGCCTTTTTTGGAGTGTCTGCTACCTGTTGGAGCCAAAGCAGGAGTGTCACCCTGTTACAAGGACCTGCTTTACCTACAAGCCTTACCTACAGAACCAGAAGGTGCCTCAGGGTTCCACACCCTGCTAGCCCTAGTCCACCAAACTGTACAGACATAAAGATGAAGGTGAGGGATGAAGGCTCCTTCCCCTTTCTCCCTTGTGCCCTTGGAAACATCCAACCATCCAAATACTACTACTACAACTGAAGGGGAATTTCTTCACTAACGCATGCCTTGCTAGCATAAACACTCAGAGGAAACCTGAAGCAAACCAATCCCCTCCAGTCTTTATTGCCTTCCCATCAAAATACCCTGGGACTTTGTATTTCACTTGTCATTTGGCATCATCCTGCATGCACAGCTACACAGGCCTTCATACAAGCAAATGCTTAAGGAACAATTAACAATTTATGCTAATGTAAGATAAACCTAACAGCAGCAGTGTCACTGGAATTCAGTAATGAGCACAATTCTGACTGCATTTGAAAGAATACAGTTATTCTACAGCAACCACAAGGAATTGCACTCAAGTTATACAATGCTTCTGCAGTGCTAAACCTTGTATAACTCAAAGAAATAAAACACTATTACCCAACGTGACATAAACCACAGCAGACTCCAGAATACTTATTATCTGAACAAGCTGCTACAAACAAATCAGCAAGCAGTTACAATAATTATAACTCTGATCATTTTTGGCACCATGATTTGGATGCGTTTGGAATTTTCTGGTGCTGGATGGAATTACCTTCATTGCCAGAGATTAAGAAGGATATCTGGTTTCATACAGTTAACTGGCACAAACATTCAAGTAAATGTACAGTGAAGATGTAGGCAGGGTCAAGAAAAGGCTGCTGCCTGACCTAAGTGCCAGTCCTCCTCCTTTGCAGGAAAAAAGGAAGCATTAGGTCTTCACTGATTTTTATTTAAAAGAAAGAGGGAACTTGACCACCAGGTAGTTCAAACCTTTGCCATCTCTTCTTCTGAGTTCTATTTCTGAATGCTGTGAATATACAGCCCTTTTAATTTAGATTATTAAAAAACCTCCCACAAACATCACATGAGAGGCAGTCACTGGCTTATTAACACTATAGGAAGCTTTTAATTTAAGAACCATTCCAAGACTTCTCCCCCTTTAATGATCTAAATATTTTTACAAGTACTGTCATATGATCTTAAACACTCTGTGTTATTACAACACTGCTATTACAAATATGACAGCAGCATTTTGATGACACACAGCAAATCTCTAGGGGTTTAAAAGGTATGTCAGGCTGCATGGATTCGATAAAACATTAAATGACACTCTGGAAAGGTATTGAATAATTTACATCTTATCATAGCTCTTTCCTGAGTATTTTATGCAATTCCTTGCCACCAACTTCAAAACAATCCTCTAACTTCTCTTTTAAAACTGATTAACTTTGTTCTACAACGTGAGTTGCACCATGAAATGAAATTTTAACTGGCACTTGCACACTATTTAACAGATTTCCACAGCAAAAATTATTCACACCTTATACACCTCACTACTGTCACAGAAAGGATTCAGGAGTCCCCTATTTCCCTAGGCTGCTATTTCACACTATGATCAATGAAATTTTTTTTGTCAGGTACAGAAGGAAAAATACTGATCCTCATCACAGAAAACAACAAAATGTAACATGCACAGAAGAAAGTGAAACATTTCTGAAACCTCAGTCTTAAATATTCTAATTTGTTTGAATTTGTTGTGTTTATTAAAATCAGGCCCCTAAAGAGAATTTATAAACTGAAGTCTGCCTGGTGTGACATCTGCTAGCATATAATAACTCAATTTGCAAAAAATTAAGTATAGACTGTTTACAACAAGTTTGCAGTAGATGTGTAGCTTTTAAAATAACTAGCAACTTCTGAGTAAACTGTGGTTAGGAACATAAACCACAGGAAAACATGCACAAGCCCCCTGCAGTGAACCAGTAACCATACTCATCTACTTGTTGGTGTTCCTGAGTTTAACACTATACTTGGTTTCTTGGTGATTTAAAATTCTGAGCTCCCCATCTTCTCTTGTAGACTTCTGTGTCTTTCAGCAAATAATTTCTACTTTTTTCTCTACCAGGAAAGTGAACAATCTTTCCCTCCTTCCTCTCCAGCCTACATCCTCTCCTGACCAAGCACCATCAGCTTACTCTGCTAAAAACCTGAAGAAAGCACAACCTTCAACAAAGCACAGGTAACCAAGTAACTGGCATCATGCAAATATCTCAGCATATGTCCCCAGGCTACAAAAAAAAAAAAACAGCTTCTGCAGTTACCTTTCTGTCCTTCACTGCTCCTGGTATAAATGGAGGAGATGGCAGTTAGAAGAAAGGCAGATGTCACTCATTGCTCTGGGCCTCAATTCATGACCCAATAAATAGATTTACAACTAACTGCAGAGGGATAAACGGATCTATTCACCTCATTTCACCCTTTTCAAATCCTATTTCTCACTTGCTCTACATATAAATACAACCAGTACTTATCAATATTTTTTTTATTATTTAAATAACAGGATTTATGTTTTTAAAATTGCAGTGGTGTGCTTATACCACAAATAGGAAGGAACATAATTTCTGGTTTAAAACTATTCAGGATGACAACACCTGAATGGGGCTGGTTCACTAGATAAATCACAGGTTTTGCAGATTTTCAGGATGTCTAGAAGATTTCTGTTCCCATTTTAGGCCTCCTAAAAATCCCAGGTTACACTTATCTGTTTGCAGGAAACCCCTTACAACAACAAAAAACCTCTTCAGCAAACAAAACATGCTTACAGGTCTTTGTAAAAAGTTTGGTGGTCGTCCCCCAGACACCCTGTTCCACAGGAGGATCTTCCTTAGTAAAGCAAATTAGAGAGTGGTTCAAGACAAGGCAAAGATACTTATATGACTATTTTGACACTGAACAGATTTATACTCTTACTTCCATTCTTCTGGAGGGTGGGCTAGTTCAAATTTCTCTCTCACATTGGACACCCCCATGTCCAGGTGTAGCCAGTGAACCTCCTCAGACTGCAGGTGACTGAGCCGTAACCCATAGCAGGCCACATTTTTCACCTTGTGACTGTCCACAATCTTCTGAATTATGCCCTGAAACAGAAAAACACACACTCCTTATAAGCCAGGAAATGCAATATGTGAGTTTTTAAAACTGTACAGCAAGGCTAAAAAACTATAACCGTGTCATACCCTATATAAAATGCTAAGCAATAAATCAGATACCACCTTTATTAAGAATACTAAACTTATTAAATTTTAAGCTACTTCTTCAGACAGCCATTTACAACTTCTGAAATTTTACCAGCATGGCATCATAAAACATCACGTTTCCATGCGTGTTATCAGAATTCAGCCACGATTTCCTCCATGTAAAACAGGGTAACATGAAAGCAGAAATATAAAATGTATTTATGGATGAAAGTGAGATGTATTCCTTAAAAAAAAAAAAAACACCAATCCATCACCAGCCTTTAAAAGTCACACTTTATCTACAGCTGCAAAATCATCTTACGACTTTCATCCTGTTCAGTGCCCTGAGAGCCAGGATTTGGCAGGTCACACCACAGCCCCTTGGTTTCCTTCCCTCTCTTCCCACCGCTCGTTTTTTCTTGAGATTCAGGACAGATCCCTTACAAAATGGGGAAAGAGACAATTATTTGGGAAGATTCTCAACAAAACAAATGTCCTACTTGTTTGTCCTGAGGTAAATTTCAGAGTTTGAGGATCTTTAGCCTGAGAAAGGAACCTTTAAAAAAATAAAATCATAGCAGATTGTCTTCCCCCTTCTGTGTTAGACCATAGAAAGGGCTAACATGGCAACTAGAATTCCAATGTGTTAGTAGATCATGGATTAGCAACCTCTCAGGTGCACCCTGCCAGGCTGTCCTGCTCTTATCCAGATTAGAAAGTCAGCAGGAGATCAAAGCTGCTCCCTCTCAACCCAGTGGAACGTCAGGCTTGTCTCTCTGCAAGACAGCAGATCCCTCCCAGTACAGAGTTTAGAGCTCAGCAGGAGCACCAGCTATCACTGCTCCCAGATGCTTCTTCCAGGAATTCATTGTTCTTTGCTTCTGACCCTGTAATGGTCTGAACATTTCCCACTGAAACTGCTCATCTCTGAGTGTCTATGTACATACATACATGTATATGCACAAGCTGCTGATTCTTTCTCAGATTTTCAGAAAACACCCATGTGTAGCCAGTGGTAAGTTCTGCCAGATTCAGAGGTGGGCTACTGGAGCCAGGCAAAAGTTTTTTTCTACAGGACACTGTTTCCCAAAATTTATTATTTCATATCCCAAATAAATTAAGAACCTGATTCTGCAAATTAAGCAAGTGGAAAACTAACTGCAAAAAGAGAATTAAGGAAGCACTGAATCTGAATAGAGGGGGCAGATGACACGTGTAGGAGTGGCATCATGTGGTGAGGAGATAGTGAGCTGTTAGATCAGCTCACACATCTTACCCAACTGCAACCTCTTCTGTTCCAGAAGCAACACAGTGCCTAGTGAAACACACACACCAAAAATCCTTTCAAGCTTACAAGAAGGGAACACAGACCATGTTTAGTAAGTTCATGGAGTCTGAGTCACAAGAGGTTCCATCAAGCCAGCACCCTGTCTCCAACAGCAGCATCTGCAGCAGTACCATTTGCTTCAGTACCAGCAGTGCCTCCCAACACCCTTGTCTTCTCCTGTGCCCATCCACCAGTGGTGAGCCCAAACGTGAGGGAAGATGGACACGAAGAGCAAAGCATGCAGGATGCTTGCAGAGGACTGCTATCACATGGGACCACGACTTCAAAGCACATGGGCACATCCAAGCTTTCAGGTGGCACTACCAGCTGGCAGCACCATGCAGACTACCCAGCAAGCACCGAGTCCTGGCAGCCAGAACGTGCCCAAGTTGCTGGGAGGAATGTCTGATGCCAATGCAAGGTAGGCTGGTCAGACAGCTGAGGAAGGCCACAGATGGGTGCTGAGCAGGCGAGCGGGGACACCAGGCAAGCACAGATGACACCTCCCTCAAGCACCCTCCCAGCCTCTGACTATTTTTATCCCAGTGGATTTCCTGAGCCAAGCACTGCTTCTCTTGTCATCAGCCTCCAGTGGAACTGCTCCAGTCACTCATCCTGTCTCCTCTGAAAGCAGTTAACTTCTTGCAACCTCCCCCAGCAAGCTCCAAAGGTCTGTTACCAGGTCAGTGAATGGTTTTAAATCTGAATTAAATGTATTGACCACAGCACACGAGAATTGGTTAAGTTTGTTTCTTGCCTGTATTTAAGGGTCTTTGTATCAAAGACTGCCTGCAAAGGAGAAGGGTTCTTGTATCCCAGGAAACACTAACAACCCCCAAGTACTCTCAGAAGGGACAGAGGCCATTCAACCTCTTCTTCACCCAAGGGACAATCCCTGCTTAGTTAGCAAAGCCTAACATTTTGGCAGGCACGCTCTCCTCTGAAGGGAATGCTCTCCTAGGTGCATGCAAACAGAAGAGATGCATTCATTCTCCTCTCTTTCTGCACCCTGCATGAAATCTGTAACATGCAGTGTTTGTTTTGGGGAACCCACCCCTTCCCCTGTCTCCAGGGCTGCTGGCTGTAAGGAAAATGGGGCTACGTGTTCTTAAATGAGTTAGGCCTGCTGTGATAAGAAATGCCTTTGGAAAGAAAAAAAATTAAGGCAAAATTATCCATGACCAGGAACCACGAAGAATATTGATGCCTAGGTCTCAACCAAAACCAATAGTATTTACTCAGGAAACAATCAAGCCGGACATCTCAGAACCTCTCCCATTTTCAGGTTGGGATTTCAAAAGATCTGAAGAAGTTAGGTATCTTAATTCCCACCAAAAGCAAGTGAGAACTTAAAAATCTTCTATCCTTTTTATATCACCAATCAGTTCTAAACCTGTCAGAGAACCACAAGTAAATAATAATAAAAAAGTAAACGTATTTTCTACATTTTATAAGAAGGCCAGCCCATCCCTTCTGGCCTGGTAGTTGGTATCACCCAAGAAAACAATCAGCAGCAATTAGTACAATACTGCAACTCAAGAAAAAGCCACCTTCAACATAAACATTAAGGAGATAGTAGCAATGGTGCTAAGGAGGTCAAAAGCAAGTGTTTGAAACTAAGGTTCTAAAAACATCTGTATGCCCCAAAAGGAAGAAGTTAAGTTTTATGAGAAATAATCACATTAATTAGTTTTTCTTTTTTGTTTAAGAATGTCACAGAGCTTATTCCAGATGCTAACAAACCACAGCCAGAATCAAACAACGGAGAAGCACGGAAATGTGGTGATCACAGAATGCATTGGGTTGGAAGGGACCTCTAAAGGTCATCTAGTCCAAGCCCCTGCAGTGAGCAGGGACATCTCCAGCTAGGTCAGGTTGCTCAGAGCCTCATCAAGCCTGACCCTGAACATCTTCAGGGATGGGGCCTCCATCACCTCTCTGGGCAACCTACTCCAGTGATCTATCACCCACATATTAAAGAGCTTTTTTCTAATGTCTAACCTAAATCTACCTTTTTCTAGCTTTAAACCATCACCCCTCGTCCTGTCGCTACAAACCCTTGAGACCAGATCCTCCCCAGGGCAGAGCAGAGGGGCAGGATCCCCTCTCTCCATCTGCTGGCCACGCTGCTCTGGATGCAGCCCAGGATGGTCCGGGCCTTCTGGGCTGCCACTGAGCATTGGTGGCTCATGTCCAGCTTCTCATCTCCTAGAACCCCCCAAGTCTTTTCCCACAGGGCTGCTCTCTACCATGTCCCCTCACCAGCCTACACTGGTAACACTGGTTGCCCCAGCCCAGGTGCAGGACCCTGCACTTGGCCTTGTTGAACCTCATGAGGATCACCTGAACCCACCTCTCCAGCCTGTCCACATCCCTCATCATTTGAGACATGAAGACCCTCAAAATGGCTGGTCTGCAGGAGAAGCCTCATCTATTTCCTTACTTAAGTTTACTTTATTAATAAACCAGAGACGTTGAATTTTAAAACATTTAGAGCCACACCTGCAATCACCATAAGCCAGCATAACATCAGTGTTGCCCACTCACCAGCATGGAAGCACAGCATCTAAACAGCACAGAGAGGTGCCCTGCAGCAGGACAGGGTCTGTTTTATCTGGCTGCTACTTTCAAACAGCCCAAGATTGATTGCCAAGACCTTCACTGGCACCATGGCCATAATCAGGTCAGTGTATTTAACGCTGATGGGGTAGCACACACCACACAGAGTCTCCTGGGGTTCTGGACAGCCCCCACAGACCGAGCGGAGACGCTGGGAGGGTCAAACAAAGCCACCGCCGCCACTCCGGGCTGGGTGACAGCTTCTCTGGCTTTCAGTCACCCTGTGAAGAGCCTTGCCAGAAGCATGCCTGATGTTCTCTGTGGTAGTGAGAAGAATGCTTAATCAGAAGTTTCCAGACAAGCACTTTAACTGCTTAACCACTGCACAATAGCGGCTGAAGCATCCTGCTGAGATCCGTCAGGACAATCTTTTAACTGGATGCACAGCCAAAGACATCTGGAATCTCTCCAAACTCTACTACAACCAGAATTTTAGCTCAGGAAGCTCCTCAGATGCATTCCTGAGCAGAAAAAAGAAATAAAAAAATGAAAACAAACCCAACAACCAAAAACAGGTAAGGAACACCAAAGCTTCCATCTGGATTACAATCTTACGACCTCAAATTAATCAGCTAGAAATACTCATAGAAGCACTTGACTCCAGCAGGTATGAGATTATGAGATCTCTCTTTGGGTGTACACAGGATACCCACATGGATATAAATTTCTCTGAGTTTTCATGCATCTGTTGTCACTCTCATAAATACCCCACAACTGTAAGGAACTCACACAACCCTATGCCAATTGAATGTTGTTCACTGTAATCACATTGACTTTAATTAGGCTTCCAGAGCTAACATTTACACTCTGAACATTAAACAGGACAGTACAGCTGAGCAAAAGAGAATGGGAAACCCTTGGAGGTAAGTGGTAGGTCAACCTCTCCCCTTCCCTTTAACCCACAGGGAAGAAAAAAAAAAGCTTTTTCAGGGGCTGGAAAACTGGGTAGCACTCA